GGTATCTCAGTGTGGTTTTGATTTGTATTTCCCTGATGAGGAGGGATGCTGAGCATCGTTTCATGTGTCTGTTGGCCATCTGGATGTCCTCTTTGGAGAAGTGTCTGTTCATATCTTCTGCCCATTTCTTCACTGGGTTGTTTGTTTTTCGGGTGTGGAGTTTGGTGAGTTCCTTATAGATTCTGGATATTAATCCTTTGTCTGATATGTCATTTGCAACTATCTTTTCCCATTCCGTTAGTTGCCTATTAGTTTTGTGGATTGTTTCCTTTGCCGTGTAGAAGCTTTTAATCTTGATGAGGTCCCAATAGTTTATTTTTGCTCTTGATTCCCTTGCTTTTGGGGCTGTGCCAAGTAAGAAGTTGTTGAGGTGAAGGTCAAGGAGGTTGTTTCCTGCTTTCTCCTCTAGGGTTCTGATTGTTTCCTGTCTCACGTTCAGGTCCTTTATCCATTTGAGTTTATTTTTGTGAATGGTGTGAGAAATCGATCTAGTTTCATTCTTCTGCATGCTGCTGTCCAGTTTTCCCAGCACCATCTGTTAAAGAGGCTGTCTTTTTCCTATTGGATATCCTTTCCTGCTTTGTCAAAGATTAGTTGGCTGTATACCTTTGGGTCCAGCTCTGAGTTCTCAATTCTATTCCATTGGTCTATGTGTGTGTTTTTGTGCCAATACCATACTGTCTTGATGATGACAGCTTTGTAGTAGAGACTAAAGTCTGGGATGGTGATACCTCCTGTTTTGGTTTTATTCTTCAGTATTACTTTGGCTATTCGGGGTCATTTGATGTTCCATACAAATTTGAGGATAGTTTGTTCTAGTTTTGAGATGTATGCTGGTGCAATTTTGATTGGAATTGCATTGAATGTGTAGATTGCTTTGGGTAGTAATGACATTTTAACTATATTTGTTCTTCTGATCCATGAACATGGAATGTTTTTCCATTTCTTTGTGTCTTCTTCAATTTCCTTCCTAAGTTTTCTATAGTTTTCATCATAAAGATCTCTTATATCCTTGGTTAGGTTTATTCCGAGGTATTTTATGGTTTTTTTGTGCAATTGTGAATGGGATCAGTTTCTTGATTTCTCTTTGTTGCTTCGTTATTGGTGTATAAAAATGCAACCGATTTCTGTACGTTGATTTTGTACCCTGCAACTTGGCTGAATTCTTAGATCAGTTCTAGTAGGCTTCTGGTAGAGTCTGTCGGGTTTTCTATGTAGAGTATCATGTCGTCTGTGAAAAGTGAAAGTTTGACTTCCTCTTTGCCAATTCTGATGCCTTTGATTTCCTTTTGTTGTCTGATGGCTGATGCTAGGACTTCCAGCATTATGTTAAACAACAGTGGTGAGAGTGGACATCCCTGTCGTGTTCCTGATCTCAGGGGGAGAGCTCTCAGTTTTTCCCCTTTGAGGATGATGTTAGTTGAAGGCTTCTCATAGATGGCTTTGATGATGTTTAAGTAGGTTCCTTCTATCCCGACTTTGTATTGGGAGCCTTTGCACCCGTTCCTATCTTGGGCCTTTGCCCATCCCTCTCTATCTTTGGGGTTCAGCACCCCCTATTCTTGGGGTGCCTTGGCACCACCCTATGCTTGGGGTGTGTTTACACCATCCTATCCTCAGTGTGCCAATCATGTACCCAAACTCAGATGAAAGCATCCTATGGCTTTTTATTTCTCTCTGCCATGTTAACCCATTGGTATAAGCCCGGGGAGTTCCTAAGCCTTTGCCCCACAAGTTGTTACTTTCTAACTCAAAGAAATTAAATGTTAACTTATTCCAGCAGAGCCCTTAGAGTTGCTTGGTGTTGCTGCCTCTTGCTGTAGCATACATGGAACTGGGAAATTGGACATTTCCAATTTTCTCCCCATAACCCAAGATGGCCCTTGACCAGCATCTCCCAGTCTTCATTGCTGGGCCCCCCTCATCAGTTCTCCACACCAAAACTATCCTGGTCCTGTCATGGAGCCTCTCTGCCCCATTTCCCCGATTCCATTTTTGGTCACATTACAAATAGAGTGAAAGAAGCTATGGGGGGAGGGGTCCCTGATGTCACTGTGGTCTCTAGCTATGATTGCCTTGTGCTTCCAAGCCCACACTCGGTGGCATTTTAAATCTACCCTCAAGATTTCTGCAAGTCCCTAGAGGCCATAAGAGTTCAAGATCATCTCTGGGATCATGTTTACTTTGTACTTGAGATTCCCTCAAACCTAAATACACGAGATGGATTATATATATGGGAGAACTTTCTGAAAGTGGGAGGGCAGCGTGATGGGGGGAAGGGGGCAACTTCAAACTGAATATTTGACTCCATTGTTCTTAGCAGCCATTGCAGTGGAACTTTCCACCCTTTCCATCTGACCTCTCCTCTGTTCTTCTCACCTCCCGAAATCTGTGCTTTGTCATCCCTTCTTTTTGGTTGCTTTGCTGCTTGCCAGCTCATACGCTCATCATCTCGCCTCCACCACCAAATAGCATCTCGTGTCACCGGCAAGCAGCTTATGAGTGTATTTTCCTAAACAAAGCCAGTTTCTTCCCCAAGGGGAAGAAGCTTCTGGAGCCAGCAGCTAAGTTCTAAGGTTCTCATTTCTGCAAATAGCAGAACTAACAGGTTGTCCCTGCAGTTCTATATGGGGTTGTCCCTTTCTGTTTACTCTGCCATGTGTCTTTTCATTTAGCTACTCAAAATACGGATGTACCATGTGCGCAGCTTCTGGACTTCCTCCAGAGGAACATCATCACTGCAGCTGCCTCGGTCGTGGGAATCCTCATGGTCACAGTGTTGTTGCTGCTGGTGCTGACTGTATGCATCAGGAGGAAAAGGCCATTGTGAGTGGCTCTTCACTCCTGCCTTCCTTTGAAGAACTCATGAGTATTTGCACTGAGGTTGCCCCAGAGCTTCCTGCTGATCCTGGAGTTAGGAGAAAAGCAAGGACTCCTACACCTTCTTGTATATTCATAGAATATAGACGACCTAGGCTATCAGTTTTTAACACTGCCTTGGTGGCTCTGATGTAGAGCCAGGTGTTGGATTCCTGCCTTGGACCATGCTTGTCTCTAAAGACTGCTGTAGGTTAGGCCACACCTACTGAGGAAATGGTACAGTCTCTGGCTGAAAGACTGGAAAATAGGCTATGAGGGCGGGGAGGGATGAGGCCATGGAGGAAATGAGCACAGGTTGATACTTGGCTTGTTACACTGGTTGTTAGACTGCTGAAAGATCCCTCTATTGGCTGGTAAACAGCACCTTCCCGGAACCTTCCACAGACTTTCCCGTCTTCCCCATGATCCTGCAAATGAAGGGTTAATGCCTAGCCCAGCAGTGGCCCTCCAGGCCTCCACTCTGATGGCGGCCACTTTTACTAGTCAGTGGCTGTCTGTACCACTTGTTAAATTTGTCTATTATCTCTTGGATGAGAGGGTTCCAGCACAGTGGCCATAACCATGAGGAGGTATGAGAAAGTAAATGGCTTACAAGATTATGCACTTTCAGTAATTGCATCTTGAAATTTTGTGTGACCATCTGCATCCTTCTAGACACCCTTCTTAATCACAGAGAAAAGGAGCTTCAAGGCCCCTGAGGTCCTGCCTAACACTGCGTTGTGTGCACAGCTTGACCACAGAGAAAGGGGGCTGTGGCATTCTGTGGGGGGTGAAGTTTCCATCCCTCTGCCCACTCCTCCCCCACAACTCTGAGGCTACGGTACTTAAATTTACCCACAAGAGTGACATTACTTTCCCTCAAGGATTCTTTTAAGTAATTTATTTATTTTGAGAGAGAAAGAGAACACGAGTTGGGTAAGGGCAGAGAGGGAGAGGGAGAGAGAATGCCAAGCAGGCTCTGTGCTATCAGCCCAGAACCTGATATAGGGTTTGAACTCACAAACCATGAGATCATGACCTGAGCTGAAATCAAGAGTCAGAGGCTTTAACCACCTGAACCACTCAGGTGTCCCCTTAAAGGGGTTCTTTTTTTAAAATTTTATTTCATTTTATTTACTTATTTATTTACATTTATTTATTTTTGAGAGACTGGGAAAAACAGAGCACAAGTGGGGGAGGGGCAGAGAGAGAGGGAAACACAGAATCTGAAGCAGGCTCCAGGCTCCGAGCTGTCAGCACAGAGCCCGATGTGGGGCTCAAACCCATGAACTGTGAGATCATGACCTGAGCTGAAGTCGGCACTTAACCAACTGAGCCACCCAGGCACCCCAAAGGGGTTCTCTTTAAACCCAACATTCCTGGGACTGGTAAACCATTTAGGCCAGCCACTGTCATCTCACATCCAGCTTTCTCCCCTGAGACAGGAATGGGTCCTCTGAAGTGAAAGGGGAGCAGGGGAGGGGCAGACAGAAAGGGAGAGAGAGAGTCCCAAGCAGGCTCTGCACTGTCAGCACAGAGCCCAATGTGAGGCTTGATCTCATGAACCCTGAGATTATGACCTGAGCTGAAATCAGAAGTCAGATGCTTAATCAACTGAGCCACCCAGGTGCCCCAAGCCTTTCTGATGGGAAGTAGAATCCCCACTCCTCAGAAACACCAACCTTTATCACCGCCCAGTGAGTAGACAGTAGGAATTCCTATTCACATAATTGTGCAATAAGGTTTTGTGTATTTTATTTCAGGTATCCTCCAGCAAACATGACATATAACATTTTTATGCTGAATGGGAAGACATGGTGGCAAAAGTATCAAGAAAAGAGCCCCAGAAAACAAGAGGGAAAACAAAAACAGTTGAAGTTCAAGTCCTGTGTCTAAGCCAGGCGGTGGGGCCAGCCAAACCAGGACTTAACGCTGTGATGCCAGGCAGTTTTCAATCCAAACACCATGGAGAGGCTTTTGGATTTCTGGCTGTGAGGTTTGCTCTGCAAAATGTTTACCTTCCCATCTCGATCTTGAATGGACCAAGAAGCAAATGTTCACCATAGGACGCTTATCGCGTGGTACGGCACTGATGGCTAGTGCAGGAGACTTAGCACATTTGCCCAAAGACAAACCCTTTCAGACTATGGATGGATTTAGTTATTAAAGAATTGATTCTCTGATTCAGCCATTCATTGAACAGATATTAATTGAAGACCTAATACATAGCCAAAATACATGAGGCAAGCAAAGACATTGGAAGCAGGCCAGTCTTCAGCAGTTTCTGAGGAAGGGGCAGGCAGTTGGGTGGATTGAGACCTCTATGTTCTGGTTGCTACAGGGTCCAGAGGGGAGGGCGGGGGGGGGGGAGGGGCTGGTGTGGCAGGAGCCAGGCTGCCAGTGTAGCTGAGGCAACCTACGCTGGCAGGTGGGGTCAGGAGAGTGGGGTTGCCATCTGGGATGCAGCCGGCTGGAAGCTGGAGGCTGCAGCCACACCTCAACCCTCTGCATCCCAGCCCAAGCAGCTGCACACCCTCTGCAGCCCCCATGGGGACTGCAGTGGGGGTGGTGGGGGTGGTGGTCGCAGCGGCAGGGAGAGGACACCAGAGAGGCGGTGGTGGTCTGAGAGTGCTGTGGACTCAGCAGAGCGTCCCTGGCCCGGAGGGGCCCAGCTGCAAGAAGTCTGGGTGTGTGCGTGTGTTAGCTGGGGAGTGAAGGCGTTTTAGGGTGCAGGTCGCCTCAGGAGCACCATGGGCACATACCAGGAGGGGCCGCAGACCTAGGGCAACCAGAGCAGTGAAGAATACCGGGCATGGACTAAAGGCTGCAGGCACGGCCTCTGCGAACTGAGAAGGCCCCAGCCATGAGGCTGCTGCTGGCTGGTACTGGTGGCTCTTGCTCAAACACTTAGAGTTTCCTAGGTGCAGGATGAGACTTGCCTTCCCTAGGGCTGGAGAGGACCCAGGTCTCCCCCTGGCTGCTGGCCTCTGCACTTCTTTCCTGGGTCACAAGTCTTCAGCCTGGGACCCTTCCTCCGCCTTAATAAGCTGCACTTAACGGAGAACCTATGGTGACTATAAACTCCTTTAGGGATGATTTTCCTCAGCTTGTTTCAGGAAAAGGAAGGCTCAGACAGGGAAGGAGGTCCCATAGCTAAGGAGGCAGCCTGGGTTCTAATCCAGATCCAGAGTCGGTGCCGTAACCATGGAGTAGCCCACCCCCTTTCACCTCCCCAGCCTCCAGAAAGACCCTTCTGATCTGTTGGGGAGGAATGAGTGGGAAGGACTCTAATCTCCTTTTGGAAGGAGATGGACTGGGTGAAGCATTCCACCGGGGGTGGAGGTGGTTTGGGAAGACCAGGCCTTGTGGGTGGCTCACAACAAGGGCTCCCTCTCTGGTTTTCCCAGCCATCTGGTTTTCCTTGTTTGCTCTCCCAAACAGGGGGAGCCCCCAAAACTTTAAACCATGGGGAATTGGAGGACAGTTCAAGGCCAGGCTGGGTCTGAGTGGGACATTCCTTTGCTCTCCTTTCTCCCCAGTGAAAAAGCAGCCCACTTTCTTCTTGTCCCAGTTGTACTGGGACTGGCCCAGGCCTTGGCCTGGAGGGTGGACCAGGACCAGGGAGTCACTGTGACTCTTTAGGTCCAGGTTAATATCCCTGACAAACCCTACTGGCTTTAGTTCTGGCAAACTCTGGAGACCTTCCACCTTACAACACACTCCAATCCCAAGGGATTTCCCTTTGAGAAGTGTCCTCCTTTTAAAAAACACCCCCCCCCCCACCAGGGGCGCCTGGGTGGCTCAATTAGTTAAGCATCTGATTCTTGATTTTAGCTCAGGTCATGATCTCATGGTTTGTGGGTTCGAGACCCACTTCAGACTCTGTGCTCACAGCATGGAGCCTGCTTGGGATTCTCTCTCTCCCTCTCTCTCTGCTCCTCCCCTGCTCTTGCTCTCTCTCAAAAAGAAAAAACACCAAAAACCAAAAACCAAAAAACAAAACAAAAACACTTAAAAATAAAAAATGCCCCAGACAAAAAAACATGTTATTCTTTCTTTGAACCAACTCCTTCCAAGCTCTGAAAACTTGGACTTGACTTGGATCATTGGCTCTAAGAAGGGACCCTTCTAAACACAGACTGTAAGAGATGCCTGCTCACGTCAGGTTTGGGAGCAGCTGATGGGGCTGTCTGAGGGCACATTGTAGCTCAGATGCCCAAAGGTGGCTGGAGGTCCCGTATGGGCAAGGAGTCCTAGAGCTCTGGAAGCCCTGGACCTGTCTTGTGCTGGCAAGCTAACACCCTCCCAAGCCCCCAACAGTGTCACCGCTGAGCAGGGAGGGAGGGAGGGGATTCACAAGTCCAGACATTTCCCACGCATGGTCCCCTGGGAAGCTGGGCCCAGCTGGACTCCAGTATTGGTCCTGCCTTGACCTTCTCTTAGCCTCCGTTTCCTCAAATTTGCCTTGGGGGTAGGAATTTGCCTCCTTTAGAGCACTGTAGGGGGTTTATTCAACAAGGACCATTTATGGAGCACTTGCTGTATGCCAGGCACTGTGCTGGGTGCTGGGGACACCATGGAGAGCAGGTAGCGCAGCCTTCCTGGCAGTAGGTTGCTGGTGTCCTTTTGAGCTTGGAAGGAGGGAGATGAGGCTGTCAGTGCCTAGGTATACAATAGGCACACCATAAATACCAGATTCTTCCTTGAGCTACTGATAGATTACACCCCCACCCTCATCCCATCCTCATCCCAACCTCTTAGGACCCTAGAACAGAGAGGCAACCCACTTTACTGCTGGCCTCCCACACCCATCTCAGGCTTCCATTTGAGGAACAAGTAAGGGTCAGCCACCTCTAGCTTCTGCCAATGGTTTCCCCATTGCCTGTGGGCCCATTGGGAGCCTTCCTTTTCATTTACCTCTTTGTCGATCAGAGAGGTGTCTCCCTCTGTGTTCTTAGTCTGCTCTCATGCTGGGGACTTCCGCCTTCAGCTCGGTTGTTGGTTTAGCCAACCTAAACCCTGGCTTGGTGAGGGGTGGGCACCTGACAGCACAGGGGATTTCACAGCTGAGACCTGTGGAGGCTCTGGGCTCCCGGAGTAGTAGCCAGCTCTACTAGCTGTGAAATCTCAAGCCTCAGCTTCTTCTTGGCCTCAATTTCTCTATCTGTAAAATGGGGCTAACCTACTTTGTGGGGTTGTTGTGAGCATTACATCTTTGGTGGGGCCAACACACAATGGTGCTTAATAGAAAGGTATAAATGAATCTTAGCTATTATGATTATTCTGTAAAACTTTGGCTCTTTGCCTACCCAGCATCCTTTCTCCCTCCTTCGAGCCATAGCTACTGACTTCTTTTGGGTTCTTCTCCCCTGTCTCAATGTGGTGAGTATGAGGTATGTGACCTTGTCCTAAGCCACTCTCGCATCCCATCCACTGGCTTCAGGGACAGGTTTGAGGATGGACGTGTGATCTCACTCAGCCAATGAGCTGTGTTGGAGTTTTTTGCTGGGTAAATTGAGACAGAGATTCTTTCTCTTCCTCCTCCTTTTTTCAATAAATTGTAGCTATATATATATATATATTTTGCCACATTTTCCAAATATAGAATATTTTAGTGAATTATATCCCATTCTCATAGTTTTAAGAATCTCAGGTTTGGGGCACCTGGGTGGCACAGTCGGATAAGCGTCCGACTCTTGATTTCAACTCAGGTCATGATCTCACAGTTCATGAATTCGAGCCCTGCATGCGGCTGTACGCTGACAGTGTAGAACCTGCTTGGGATTCTTTTTCTCTCCCTCTCGCTCTGCCCCTCCCCTGCTCGCTCACATGCACACACTCCTCTCTCCCTCTCTCTCTCTCAAATAAATAAACCTGAAAAGAAAGTTTAAAGAGCTCAGAGGTTTTACTCAAGATTCTTGCTTCTTGAGTAGGATTTGAAACTGAGTCACTATCTTGGGCCACAGAAAGAAAAGTTGTCTGAGAACAAGACCATCAGGGGGAGGAGGTAACAACCCAGGCACTGTTATTTGAGCCCTGAGCAAGGTTTCCCTAAAGGCTATACCTGGGATTTTCATGTATCCATGCTACATTTACTGACCACTATTATGCCTTAAGTGCCACTCCAGTTGCTGGTGACTTAGCCAGGAACAAGACAATTCCTACTTCACAGAGGTCACAGTCTTGCCCCAGGGCATTTTCACTTGCTGTTCCCTCCACCCGGAATTCTTTTCCCCTGGAATCTCCATGGCTTCCTCCTTCACCTCCTTCAAGTCTTAACTCACAGGTTAGCCCCTGGTGAGGCCTGTCCTGACGTGTCTGTTAAAAATCGCACACCCACAAACCTCTTCTACCCTCTCCTGATTTGTTTTACTCCTTAGCACTTGAAGCCACCTGCCATACTCCATAGAATACTTATTTGTTACTTCTCTGTCTCCCGCCAGAGAATGTCACCTATGCGAGGGAAGGGATATCATCTGCATTGTTCACAGCAGATCTATAGTGCCCGGAACAGAGTGGCATAGAGTAGGTGCTCAGTGCTCAATAAATAGGAAGCCCCAGAGGACTATCTAAAGAGGTAACAGTGTCACTGAAGTTTCAATGTTTAAGAAGGAACCAGCTGGGGCACCTAGGTGGCTCAGTTAGTTAAGTGTCTGACTTCGGGTCAGGTCATAATCTTGCGGTTTGTGAGTTCAAGCCCAGCGTCAGGCTCTGTGCTAACAGCTCAGAGCCTGGAGCCTGCTTCCGATTCTGTGACTCCTTCTGTGCTCCTTCCCTGCTTGTGCGCTTGCTCTCTCTCAAAAATGAATGAACATTAAAAAAATTAAAAAATTAAAAAGAAGGGGCCAACCATTTGATGACCCCCAGGGAAGGGTAGAGCATATGGCTGGTGTGGCAAATCAATTGTCTTTTGACTTAAACCGTGCTGGATTACTTTTTTTTTTTTTAAGTATTTTTTTTAACATTTTTTAAAACATTTTTTAAAAAATGTTTTATTTATTTCTAGGAGAGAGAGAGAGAGAGAGCGCGTGAGCAGGGGAGGGTCAGAGAGAGGGAGTCACAGACTGAAACAGGCTCCAGGCTCTGAGCTGGCAGTCAGCACAGAGCCCGACGCGGGGCTCGAACCCACGAACCGCGAGATCATGACCCAAGCGAAAGTCGGACGCTTAACCGACTAAGCCACCCAGGCGCCCCTGGATTACTTATTTATAAGGGAGTGTCAGGAGCTGCCTCTGGAACACACAAGGGAACCCCATTGCTGCTCTTGGGCACACAGTCACTAGCACACTCTAGAAATTGGGAAAATAGATGATGATGATGATGATGATGATGACGGCAATAATGGAGCATTTGCTTTGAGACCTCTTTTAATTTTCACAATAGCCCTATGAGATAGGTACCATTATCATCCCCATTTCCCATATGAGGAAATACGGCACAGAGAGATCAAGTAACTCCCTCAAGGCCCCTGATCTATAAGCAGCAGAACCAGAAGAGAACAAGGAGTTAAAAGTCACCCTTGTCTGATACCCAGGTGACGCCAGGTGGGCAGGGATTCAGGAGAAACCCTGTGGTGGTGGGGGGGACTGTCCTCCCTTTGAGGATCACTGTGCTGACATGTAACCCCTCTCTGGCAGGCTGGAGCCACCTCCTCACCCCACACCCCCAAAAGGCAGAGGTTTCCCAGCAGTGATCTGGTGTCCCTTTAACTTTGGAAGCCAAGTGTGGCCTGCCTGAAAGTCAGCTGAAACTGACACAAGTCCCTGCATTGATCAATTTGAGGATTGGAAGGCTTCCTGGAGGAAGCCACATTTCATCATTGACCTGGAGGAGGAGTAGGAGTCTGGCAGTTGAGGAAGTGAGTTCAGGCTGGGACACTGCATGGGCAAAGGTCTGGAGGTGTGAGAACAAGCCACCAATTTCTTCCGAGGCTCTGCATGTGTGGACCCAACCTGAACAAACGCACCGCAGTTATCCCAGCCCACATTTCCATCCGTCATCCGTTTGCTCTTTCCTCTGAACGTTCAAAAGACCCATCTACCTCCCTTGACTCCCTTTTGGCAAAACACATGGCCTTATCTGCAAGCCAATCTCAAACGGAGTTTGAGCACCACAGGGCCTCTATAGTTTCAGAAAGCAACCTCTAGGACCGCAAGGGGCTTGGGGGGTGGTTGAACGGTGCCTCACAGGGCCTAGGAGTCCCCTTCTCAGGCTTGACGTCCCCAGAGTCCGGAGGCCCCAAAAGCTGCTGCCTCTCAGGTGCTCTGTGTGCAGCCTGCTTACCTTCTGTTCTTTTCCTTCTGCGTCCACCAGTGGGTGGGCTATGGGGCCAGACTTCCCGGGCTTGACTCTTGCCCGGCCATTTGGCCTCTCTGGGCTCCTCTCACCTTATTTGGAAAATGGATTAAATGGGTTATGTGGATTAAATTATAAACGGCTTACAATGTTGTCTGGCACGTAGTAAAGGGCTCGGTAAGTGCTACTGTTATTACTGTAGATTATGTGATTCTGATGCTACGATTTCTCCTCTCTTCACTCTGCTGGGGCATTCTTCTCTCCCTCCAGAAAGGATTATCCAGTGAGGAAGCAAGTTTTTTTTTTTTTCCTGCTTCCTGAGTTTCACACAGCCTGTGGGGAAAGAGAAGTTTTCTAACGAAACAGTTTGGGGGAAATCTATGTAGGAGAAAAGTATCCCAGCCTGGGACCCAGAAACAAAGATGTCTTGAGGGGGGAAAGGAGGATTTAGAGAACCAGGGGGGGACAATAGAGACTGGAGAGAGGTCCCCAGGAAAGAAGGCCTGGGGTGGAGCATAGAGGAAACATCAGGCAGGTTGTGGGGCTGGGCGCACGCCCCCTACGGTGGAAGGACCCAGAGAAGAGAGGTTCTTGGGGTCTAGGATGTGGGTCTAGGATGGCCCCACACCATCCCAGAGGCCGTACGTGTGGACAAGCCATGGAAGCCGTCCCCATGCATCCAAGAGGGCGAGGAAGTGGTGGAAGAGAGAGCTCCCTTGAGGCCTTGTAGCCCCTGGAGGGAGAGAAGAGGAGATGTGGACACCAAGCAGGGGCAGCAGCCATGCAGCAGGGAGATGTGAGGTGTGGCCACTCAGTCTTCATTGGTGTGGGTGAGTGGGAGGGAAGGGAGGAAAAGAGTATGGGGGGGGGGGGGTTGTGGCCAGAGCAGGAGGTGGTGATCAGCCAGGTGCAGCATGTGGGAAGCTTTGAGGCGGGGCAGGCTGGCAGCAGGTGGGCACTGGGAGACACACCATCGCTGTGTCTTGGTGAAATGACTGATCCCTTTCCGAATCCTTCTCTGACACCGCCCATTTGCATTGGGGCTCCTCTGAATACACATAGCGCCCAGGCTTCCACCATCCCAGCCCTGATCTTCCTGTTGACTCAGCTGCCTCCTCCTCTAACCTGTGACCCATTTAGGGCAGGGACAGGTTGTCATTGCTGTCCCAATGCCTGGCACACAGCAGGTACTCTGAATCTTTGAGGTATGGCCCTACTTAGCAAATTTCTCCTCTCTCTGGCTTTCACCTGCCTGTGAAATAAATAAATCACTTTTAGGAGCAGTTCATCGGGGCAAGCCTTGGGTCCTTGTCCCCTTGGGAGGGGGAAGTAGTGGCATTCCTGTTTCCACTGAGTCCTGGGGATCAGCCTCCCTCTACCACTGCTCCACCCCCCATTCTGGCACACATAGCTCCTCTCCTCCCCCCCTTCACACCCCCTGCTTTGGGGGTGCTGCTGGAGTCGTCACTTTGCCTGCAACTGCAACCCTGCAGCTTGCCTCAGTTTCCCCCAGACCGGGACAGGCACTGCTCGGCACGGAAAATACCCTCTGCCCTCCCAGGAGCATGTGACTTTCGATTTTCCTTGAACGCAGCACTTTGTGACTTTGGCGTAAACTTCAGACGCAGCCCCCTTTCCTGTCTTCACATCAAGGAAATAAGTTGAGTTTCGGAGAAACCAGCTGCTGAGAGCACAACAGGCCTTCCGGGCCTGGTCCCTGCCGGCTTGGGCCTTTGAGTCGCTGCTGGTGTGTCCAGGTGAGTGGCCGCCCTCCGGCCTTCTGCCCCTGTTCTGCCACCCCAGCCACACCCAGGGGACTCAGGGCAGCTGGCAGAGGGTGAAGATCCCTTGAGGTGTGGCCTGCTTACACTTGGCCTGGGCATTTGAGGGGGTGGTTAGCCGCAGGGCCTCACGCTGGGGGCTTGGGCTGCAGAGACCCGAGTTAGTTTCCTGGGCTCTAATTCTTCATCTAGAACCAGCTGTTGACGTTGGGGACCAGAGATCTTACAGGTGGAGCATTTGCCTCCATATCATCGGCAAAACTCCAGGTAAGTCATCCCGGCCGGAACAGCACCTGGCCACCATTTCCACGGGTAACCTTGGTCTGATGGAGGAGGACAGAGTCAGGAGGCCACTGGGAAGGACTGGGAGGGGCTGTCATATTGGAATGATGGGTGGTGTCCAGCTGGAAAAGGAAGCAGACATGGCTTGTGGCCACCCTGAGGGAAACAGATTCCCTGCCAGAGTGTCGGCTGAGCGGTTGTGTCCAGGGGACACAGAGATGCCTGCTCAGTCCCTCACCTCCTGCTGAGCCCCCATCAGGGTGACACCCTTGGCTCCAGGAAGCAGAGAATCCTCCAGAGAAAGCAAACATGTGCTCTTCCCCTCCCCCAACTCAGCCCCGTGAATATGAGGGTGGCTCAACAGGGTTGTGAACTTGAACCAAAAAACGCAGATGGTTCCTATCAGGGGGCCCAGGGCAGGCTTGAGCCCCTTGTAGGGGAGCCCAGGTTAAAGGGGGGCCCAGAGAGGTGAAGGAGAAAACAGTCAACCGCTGTGTGTCGGCAAGTTGCAGGGACTCTCTGTGCCTCAGTTTGCACATCTGTTAAATGCAGATGCAGATGTTGGCAACTTGCAGGCACCTGGCTCTTGTATCTTGGGTGAGAGGTTGGGAAAAATGTCCCAGGCAGGGGTTCCTGTGGTAAACAACTCCAGGTGAGTTTCGTTACACTTGTCTCAGCCACGGTGGCGAGCACACAGTGGGTGCTTCATTAGGCTTTGCTGAGAGATTAGGGCCAGGGACTCCTGGGATGAAAAAATCTTTGGGTGCCGCGTCTGAAGGCTCTTCTCCTCCAGTGCAGTGCCTCTTTTTCCTTTTCACACCTGTCCTCCAGCGTCATGCATGTGGCCTCGGCCAGGACACAGGGCAGGCAGGCAGCCTGGATGGTGGGAAGTGTACACTCTGAGGCCAGGTGGCCTAGATCCTAGTCCTGGTCCTGCCACCTGCTCTGTGTGTTGTGTGGCCTCAGGCAAGTCACTGCACCTCTCTGTGCATCAGGTCCCAGCTCCACAAATCCTTCACTCATGGGATTCTTATGAAAATTAGGGGAACTAATAGGGTTGACCCTTGAACAGCATGGGGGTTCCAGGCCGAACCCCCATGCAGCTTAAAGTCTGCATAGAACTTTTGACTTCCTCCAAATTAGCTACCAATAGCCTACCATTGACCGGAAACCTTCTGATAACATAGGCAGTATAACATATATTTTGTATGTTGTATGTACTATATACTGTATTCTTACAATCCAGTAATCTAGACAAAATAAAATAGTATGGAGAACATCATCAGGGAAAAGACATTTACAGTCCTGTGAAAAATCTGTTTGTAAATAGACCTGAGCAGTTCAAATCCCTGCTGTTCTAGGGTCAACCGTAAATCTAGAGTGCTTGGCACATAGTAGGTGCTATATGAGCCTGTTGCTCTAATTATCATTATTAGCTCTAGGTGGTCGGGCACTGGACTTTGTAGCCTCTGGAGACTCTCCAGGGGACTGCAGCAGTCAGAACTCTCCATGCTGACCTTTCCCTGCCCCAAAGCATAGGGTCAAGGCCGTGGTTATCAAAGGGAGCCAAGTTTGGCACCCCTTTTGCCCCCAGGGACATTTGACAATGTCTGGAGACGTTTTTGGTCATGACTCAGGGGCTGTTGCTGGCATCTAGTAGATATAGGCTAGGAATGGTGCTAAGCACCCCACAATCCCGCAGTGCACAGGACTGCACCCCGCTGTCCCCATGTCTCTATAGGCTCTGTCCTACAGACTCATCTTCTCACCTTCCCCAGCCCCTAAGCCTTTCTTTGTCCCACTTTTATAGCCACTGAGCCTGACATCCAGAGAGGGAAAGCTCCTTGATGAGGTCACACAGCCCTTAAAACCAAGGCAGCAGAGGTTGAGGTTGGGGGGACGGCTCTCCTGCCGTTGTCCAGGGGATCAACAGACACTTAGCGAGTCTGCTGGATGCAAGGTCCTGTCCCCAACCCCACAACGGGCCTAGCATTCTGGGCCCTGACAATCAGGAAGTGACTCTTGGACCAGACTGGGTGAGAGCCCCTAGGGATCCAGCTCAGAACAGTGGATTCCGTCTCCTAAAGGACATTCACTAAAGTGGTGAGTGCAGATTGCTGGGTTGGAGACCTGCGTTCAACTCCTGACTGCCACTTGCAGGCTGCATGATTTTGAACACAACATTAACCTCTCTGAGCCTCAGTTGCTTTAGCTGAGGAATGGGGGTAACAGTTTCCATTTAATGGGGTTGAGGTAAGGTTTAGATTAAATGGATAATGCTCATAGTAAAGTCCCTGGCACTAACCTGTTTGACACGTACTTATTGGAAGGAAGCAGGGGCTCTGGTAGAAAACAAGGTAGCCATAGGCTCTGCCTTGGGGAAGTCAGCCTGGTCAGACACAGAGGAGGCAACAGACCGTGGTCATACGTGGCCATCAGGGCTGTGATGTGGGAGGATGGGCCCTGGGACAACAGCAGAGGTCCCTCATACAGCTTGAGGAGGGAGGGGTGGGAGTCATGGAACACTTCTAGGAGGGGCCAATGGAGGGGACCTGAGGCATGTGGGGCATCTATTATGTATACTCCTTGCTGATATAGACAGGGGAACAAGACAGTCCCCACCCTCATGGTGCTTACATTCAAGCAGGGGGACAAAGTCCTATGTCAACAAGTTGGTGGATAAATCATATTTTTGGTGGTAAAGAGCAAAAAAGTTGGGTCAGGGATAGAGAGAGAAGGGGAGGTGATTAAAAAAATTTTTTTTAATGTTTTTATTTATTTCTGAGAGAGAGAGACAGATACAGCATGAGCAGGGGAGGGTCAGAGAGAGAGGGAGATACAGAATCTGAAGCAGGCTCCAGGCTCTGAGCTGGCAGTTAGCACAGAGCCCAACATGGGGCTTGAACCCACAAACCGTGAGATTGTGACCTGAGCCAAAGTCAGACGCTTAACCAACTGAGCCATTCAGACGCCCCAGGGGAGACGATTTTAGAGAGGGAGGTCAGGGAAAAACCCTTGGAGGGGGAGGTAATATTTAGGCAGAGACTCAAATAAAGTGACGGAGTTTGAAGGAAGAGTGTCCAGGCAGAGGGAACAGACAGTGCAAAGGCCCTGAGGTTGGACCATGCCTGATTTGATCAAATGACCTGAACAAGCAACGTAAAACCAGGCCCATGTGGCTGGTGAGGATTGAATAAGGATAAAGTGGTGATTGAGCAGATTGTGTAAGGACTTGGGGGCCGCTGTGAGGACTTGGGCTTTAACCCTAAGTAAGGTAGGGGTCCTGGAGAGCTGAGAGCAAGAGAAAGACATGACAACACAATTATAGACCAGGCACTGTGCTTGGTACTCCGTGAGCTTTATCTCATGGAATCCCCACAATTTGCCGGTATTAGGCACCTTCACTTGTACCAGTTTACAGGTGGGGTCTGGCGAGCTTACCGCTAGGACACAGTAGATCTCTGATTCTATGGTTGGAATCTGATCCCCTGGTGTCAGAGAAAAGATACGAAGGAGCCTATTGCCACCCATGGCACATTGACAACCACTGTCATTGTGACTTAGAATGTAACCAAGGTGGCACTTTATGAGCTGAAATTGCCTGTGCTACCTCCGTTGGTAGGCAAAGGGGAGTCCCACAATGGCCTGCAGACTGGAGAGCAGGAAACATGGCTTCAGGGGGGACTTGGGGTCTCAGGCAGAGGACTAGGGGTCAGTGAGAGGAGGCTTGGGCAGAGAGGGGCTGGGCCCCTATTCCAGCGGTGCCTCTGATGTCAGGCTGAGGATGGCATATGGAGCCCCCAGGCCTGGCTGGTGCCACTCCCATCCCCTCCCAACCAAGTCCAGTTGGATGGACTCATTTCCTCTGCAGCCTGACTGCCTTAGTCTCCCCTCTGGGATCTCACAATGGACATCTAATTGGGGCTTTTGATGCTCAGAGTCTGTTCTGTGGAATAGTAGACCCTCAAGGCTCTGGTACTTAGGGGTGGGGATAAAACAAAACTAAACGGTCCTCCATGCAGGTCTTCTCAGAGCCTTTGATATGCAATTATGCTTTCCACAGCTTTGGAAAATGTGTTTAACCACTTGAGCCTTTTTCCTTTGAAGTATGTTTGGAGTATCATGTGTCTCTGGAATAGATATAATTGAACCCTACCTTTACCCAAGGAGGATCTTTGAATGGTTGAATTTCAGGTAGATCCTTCTGACCTAGGACCACAGGTTTCCTCCTTTCCTCCCAGGGCTTAGGCTATGAAAACAAGGCTGGTGTTCCCTCATCTCTCAGTTGAACTGCAAACTCTGGGAAGGCCGAATTAGCATCTCTGAACTCACATCTCATGGGGAGGCTGGATGGAGTCAGTCCAGGCAGGACTGGGGTGGAGGGGTCTCATGGTGGGCTGTCTCCTGGGAAAACCGTGGCATCTGTGGGGACATAGCTCAGGATAGAAACATCTGATCTTCCCGCACATGGCTTACCAGGAGGCTGCAGACTGGCTCAGCTCCTCTGAAAGCAAAGGCTCCACGCTGGCCTGGCCTGCAGTGGTGCTGCGGGGACAAGTATTCCCGCCTCTTGTCTCCCTGGCTTTCCATCTTCTGCCTCCTGCTGTCTACTTCCTCTGGCCTTCCCAGCATCTCTGGCCCAGAGGGTCACTGGAAAGTTGGTCGCTCCAGCTCTCATCCCCCCGTTTTACTAGTGAGGATAGCCCAGAAAGGCACGGGGAAGCGAAAGCAGACACAGGGCGGGCAACCCCTGGACCCACCCACCTTGCAGTGCTGTGTTATTATTACGGTTGTCATTATTGACCGTGAGACAGGGAGGTTGTGATAAAGCTGAGCATGCACAGGCAATGGTCCTGCCTGGGGGATACCTTGACCTTTGGTCTCAGGTAGATAATCATGGCTTGTGGTCCTGGACTGGGTCCCAAGGGCCAGCCTCTCCCCAGCCCCCTTCTGCCTTAACCTGTCTCTGGCTACCCATGTTGCACCTGTGGCCACTGCGGGGAGGAGCTTCTCAAACTGTGTTGACGACAATTTCCTGCCACAGCTTCCTGCCCCAGAGACCAGCATCACTACCCCCACCACTCCCCACAGCCCCATGGACAAGCCCCCACCTTGCTGCCTGGTCCTGTGTCCTGTGTATAGGGAACGACTATATGAGTCTGTGAGGCAAGGGTGATGTATTTGGGAGGATAGAGAGGAGTGAGGAGGGTGTACCCAATGAAGGGCACTACGTGGATAAAAGTACGGAAGTGAATTTGAAAGAAGGCTAATAGCACAGCCCAGATGGAGCGGGGGTGGGGGGTGAGGTGGGGGCTTGAAGAACTTAGTTAGAGTCAATGAAGTGGGCAGGAGGGAGCCACAGTAAGTTCTTGAGCAAGCAAGGCTTTGGGGGAAAAACTGCCAAGAAGCAAATTGCAGACCCTAGAGCTCAGCTCATGGGAAACAGACTGTGGGGTTTAGCCAACCACAAACACTATGTGAGTTAGATCTGGATCTCAGATTTTATTAATAGAAACAGCAGGTGGAGATCAAAGGAGGTGATGCCAGCACAAACAGAGAGATCTGAACTAGATAGGTGAACGTAGTTCCATGTTTATAGCCACAGACAGAATGGCCCAAGTAAGGCTACCAGGGCTGGGGAAAGAGAGAGCACAGGAGCCATCAGAGAGGGAGGAGGCACGTCAGGGAGCCTGTGAGACCCGGGAGAGCCAAGAAGCTCAAGCAGGAAGAAAGGGTCACTGGTGTCCATCACTCAGGGGACCTAGCATTGAGGAGGGCTTGCCTGGTGCCCACCAGAGGGTGATATCAGTGCTTCCTCTCTGGCCTGGAGAGTATCCCGGTGGGGTGGGGGGCAGACTGTGAGACTGGATGAGGGTGTGGGAGTCAAGAAAGTAGAACATGGGTGTAGACAGCACTTTCTTTCCTTTTTCAATTATTATTTTTAGTGCCTGGTTTGTCTATAGTTTCCAGCGCCTTTTGTTAAAAAAAAAAAATCCAAGGTATACTTTACATACAGTAAAATTCATCCATTTTAGTGAACAATTCTGTGAGATTTGACAAATGCATATAGCCGAGAAACTACCATCTCAATCAAGATATTGAATATTCTCCCAATTCCTTCATGTCTCTTCTAGTCAATCCTTTCCCCTTGGCCCCCAGCCTCTGGCAACCACCGAAGCTTTGTTCTCCACTGATACAGTTTTGAATGGAATTATACAGTCTGTAGCCCTTTGAGTTTGGCTTCTTTCCCTCAGCATGATGCCTTGAGATTCATCCATGTGTTGGACATTTCCTTCCATTTTATTTCTGGGTAGTATCCCCTGGTAGTGATGTACCATAGTTATCTACTCATGTGTTGAGATACATTTGTTTCCAAAATTTGGCAGTTGCGAGTAGAGCTGCTATAAACATTTCCTGTGTAGGTTTCTGTGTGAATACAAGTTTCCATTTCTTTAGGGTAAATACCCAGGAACTTTTTTTTTTTGTGCCTCTTAAACACTCTGATGGAATGGTGACCTATATTTCCGGGGGGTGGGGTGGGGGACACAAATGAGTCTCTGATTAGTCTCCTGTCTATAACTGTTGGGACATCCAGGAACCCCCTCAAGCCTGGGCTTCCTAACCCAAATATCAGGAGCTATCTGGTGAGAATGCAGATTCTGGCTCCTCCTCTGGCTACTCTGACCCAGATCTCACCTGATTCCCATTCCAGTATCTTCCTTTCAGCCCCTGTGCCCATCCTTGCCTGTCCCTGGACACCCAGGGGTAAGGCAGCCTTTTCCAACCCACAAAAGCCTCCCCCCACCCCCGCTTACTTTTGCTTATTTAAAAAAGGCGCCCAAGGATCTTTCCCTGAACATAACCTATGCCTGGGTGGCCCACCTCAGAGAAATGTCTGGAAATTGATAAAGGGAGATAAGTTTTATCAATATTATATAAAACTTTCAAATATATACCTAAATGGGAAGAACTGTATACCCATTAACCACCTCATAGTTCTACGTTAATATTATTATAGTCACTTTATCACAGTCAATCCTCATTATTAGCAGATTCTATATTTAGCCTACTCGCTAAAATTTATTTGCAACCCCCGAACTGATAATACTCGAGGCCCTTTCGTGGTCACTTAAGAACATACACAGAGAAGCAAGAAATTTGAGTCAATTGAGGTCAAACAAGGTGACACTCTTCTGCCTTTTTGTTATACTTCTCATACTGTAAACAAGTGTCCTCTCTGTTTAGGGCACATTTTTGTGCCTTTTGTTGGTGATTTCACTGTTTAAAGGGCAGTGCAGTGCTGAAGTGCTGTCTTGTATTCCTACCTGCAAGAGGCTGTGATGTGCCTTATAGAAAGTCTGGGTTGTCAGATAATGTTACAGTTACAGTACTACTGGCTGGGTATTCAATGTTGAATCAACAAAATATGTGTCTTTAAGCAGAAACAAGGTTAGGTACTGATCAGTTGGTGAAAATATTGACTGGGGGCAGGGGGCTGGCTGGCTCAGTTCGTAGAACATGTGAGTCTTAATCTCGGGGTCATGAGTTCAAGTCCACGTTGGGTGTGGAGCCCACTTAAAAAAATCAACATTATGGGGTGCCTGGCTGGCTCAGTCAGAAGAGCATGCAACTCTTGATCTTGAGGTAGTCAGTTTGAGCCCAACGTTGGGTGCAGAGATTACTGGGGAAAAAAAAAAAAAAGTTGTGACCAGAGACTTAAAGGAGCCTAACCTTGGATTTCCTCTAGGAGTAATCATTTAGTATTTGCTAATTCAGTGTTTGCAATGACTTTACAGAACTAATCTGAATAATAAAACTTACGTGTCCGTCTGTTTATCCATCAATGTTATTTATTTATTTATTTTTTGGATACCTTTCAAAGTAAATTACAGCCATCAGAGGTGAATATTTCTGCAAACAGATCATTAACTAGCATTCAATATTTTATGTTTCTTTTTAATGAGGGGTCCAAATACAATGAAACGAACAGATTTTAGCACATTCTTAGAAATATTGAGACACTTGTATAACCTAATACTTACCAAGATATCAGCCATTGTACTATCACCCTAGAAAATTGAAACAAGAGGGGCGCCGGGGTGGCTCACTCGGTTAGGCGTCCGACTTCGGCTCAGTCATTATCTCACGGTTCGTGGGTTCCAGTCCCGCGTCAGGCTCTGTGCTGCTAGCTCAGAGCCTGGAGCCTGTTTCAGACTCTGTGTCTCCCTCTCTCTCTGACCCTCCCCTGCTCACGCTCTCTCTCTCTCTCAGAAATAAATAAAATATTTAAAAAAGAAAAGAAAATTGAAACCAGATAATTTTAGGTTATCTGCCTTACCAGATATTTATCTAAATATCCTTAATTCCTTCCCCTCTCCTCCTCATCACACATCTCATTTTACTTATAAAATGGCTGTATCAAAGTTCACGTTGGATTTAAACCCTAATGTATTTCACCAATATCCTATTGGTGGATATTCAGATTAATTTATACTTTCTAGAAATTTGTCCATGAAGGCAGAGGGGGGAGAGCAAAGGGGAATTTCTCAGGCCAAGGGGATTCAGTGGAAAGGAAGGGAAGGTTAATAAAGCAAGGTTCTTTTGAAGAACAAAGCTTGTTCCCTGTGCGTGATGTTCTCTTCAATGATTTTTGAAAAGCTGGTTCCTCCTCATCCTTCTAATCTCAGTTCAAAAGCTACCACCTCAGAGAAGGCGATTGTCCCAGCTACAGTGGCTTCTTCTCTCTCTTAATATTACTCTATTTATTTCCTTTAGAACACTGATCTCAGTCTGTAATTACTATTTGTTGCCTCTTTCCTTGTTTAATATATCCCCCCTACCCTCAGACTGTTGTCTTCAGGAAAGCAGGAACTGTCTTATCTACTCATACCCAGCACTGGTCTGAAATTCAACACGTGTTTGAGAAATGTATGAATGATTCCAGGTTCTGGTGTTTGTGGGCCTGGGGCGGGGGGAGGGTGTCCGGGCGCTCTGCAAAGTCAGAGGAGAACTGGGGATTCTCCGGTCTCAGTCTACCTGGCGGGGGCTCCTCTCCAAGTTGATTCGGGCATAAAGCAGGCTCTACACTATTAACACTGATGCCCCTCAATGTGTCCTCTGTCCAACTCTCTCTGGGCCCAGTGGCCTGAGCTCAAAGAGGCAAGCCGAGATCCTGACGTGCCCTCCCTGTTGTTCTGAACCCGCAGGGTCTGGCGAGGCACAGGGGCGGCGGCGGCGATGCCGGACCCCGCGGCGCACCTGCCCTTCTTCTATGGCAGCATCTCGCGCGCCGAGGCGGAGGAGCACCTGAAGCTGGCTGGCATGGCCGACGGGCTCTTCCTGCTGCGCCAGTGCCTGCGCTCGCTGGGCGGCTACGTGCTCTCGCTCGTGCACGATGTGCGCTTCCACCACTTCCCCATCGAGCGCCAGCTCAACGGCACTTACGCCATCGCTGGCGGTAAGGCGCACTGCGGCCCCGCCGAGCTCTGCGAGTTCTACTCGCGCGATCCCGATGGGCTGCCCTGCAATCTGCGCAAGCCGTGCAACCGGCCGTCCGGGCTCGAGCCGCAGCCCGGGGTCTTCGACAGCCTGCGCGACGCCATGGTGCGCGACTACGTGCGCCAGACGTGGAAGCTGGAGGTGAGCGCGCGGGCCCGAGGGGGCGGACCCGGAGGGGGCGGGGCCCGGGGCGGAGCCGGGGAGAACCTGCCCAAGGGGGCAGGAGAGGCGTGGGGTCTGGGGAGAGCGGTGGCGTTTGCCAGCCTGCGCTTTGCTGTGCTTCGCCGGATTTGGAAGCTGGAGGGGTGGGTGGGGTCCTGGTTGGGGGCAGGACCTAGGAGGCGGCCTCGGAGGGCGGGGCCTGGGCGATGCCTTGGTGCAAGTGTGCCAGACTCGCAGCTGGAGGTCGCGCTGAGCCTGGGCTGGGGGCGGGGCCTGAGAGGACCGTAGGGGCGCTGCCAGCGGAGGCGGGGCTGTGGTCTTCCGCAGCCTCCAGTACTGGACAACTAGCGTCAGATCTTCAAGCTGAAGATGAGCTTGGACCGCCTGTAAGGCGGGGGTCTGGGGCGTGGCCCTAGATGGGCGGGGGGGGGGGATTGGAGAAGACCTAGGAGATGGGAGGGAGGGGTGGACGAGGAAAGGCGGGCGGAGGGAGTGGACGGGGAAGGGAGGCTGATGTTGTCCTCAACAGCCTGAACGACTCATTCTAGGTGGGCCTAGGGTGAAAGGTCTAATGGGACAGAGGCAATTAGGAAGGTCCAGGAGATGGAAGAGGTTCCTGTGGCCACGCACTTGGTGATAGATATAACTCTCCTGGCTCCTCCACCCACCCTTCCCTAGGGCGAGGCCCTGGAGCAGGCCATCATCAGCCAGGCTCCCCAGGTGGAGAAGCTCATTGCCACCACAGCTCACGAGCGGATGCCCTGGTACCACAGCAGCCTGAGTCGCGAGGAGGCAGAGCGCAAACTCTATTCGGGCTCACAGACCGACGGCAAGTTCCTGTATGTGGGGCTTGAGGCCTGGGGCTTTAGGGCAGTGAGGCTGGGGCTTGTTGGCCAGAATCCTGGAGGTTGGGGCAGACCTCAGTGTGTAGGTGGACCGCGAGGGGTGCGCCTGTGCTAACACGTGCAATTGGCTAGTGTGTTTCTGAGAGTGCGGAAGGAACATTATAGGAGAAAGGATCTGTGGTGGTTAAGACCCCAGAACTGGATTGCCTGGGTGAGAATCCAGGCTCCGCTACTTATCAGCTCAGGTCGCTGGGCAAGTAGCTGAACTTCTGCCTGCTTGGATTCCCTCTCCTTCATTCAGCAAATCATTACTGAATATCTACTATGTGCCAGGCATATTTCAGGCATTGAGGACATGGCAGTGAACAAAACAGACACAAATCCCTTTCCTTGTGGAGCAGGAAGACAAGAATCCAGGGAACCCAGGCTGTGCTACTTTACCAGCTGCTGTCCCCATCGTAGCTCAGCTTTGACCACTTTCATATCTTAAGCCTCCCTGGAAGATGTTTGATAACGAATTCCCCTGCCCCAAAGAAAAGTTTGCAAACTTCCTGCAGAGTTGATGACAGTTAACTGGTCTACTGAGGTTAGACTCAGGAGAACCTGGGCCAAGGGCTTTGACCAGCTGTGGGTGCCTTGGATGTCAAGCTTGAAGTCACAGAGGCAGGTACGGGCAGCATGGACCATGGGAGGCTGAGGCTGAGGAAGCAAGGATCAAGTACGGTGTGGAGACTGAGCTAGCACTGAGGTTCAGAACCAGGTGGAGCAGTGACAGTATCAAGGACAGTGGCTTAACACTGGGCAATGTCAAGAGACCAGAAGCAGCTACTTTGAGACAGACTATTGGAAAATTAGGTAAGGCATGCTTTGGACAGAAGCTATTGTAGATTGTTTTTGTGGTTCCTGTAGTCAGTAACTGCTTTCTCAATATGGGGATGGTTAGGGGCTAAAGGTCAAAGCTGTAGGCGTAGAACCTTGCCTGGGGCAGCAGGGAGGGGATCACCCCTGGTGGGTCATGATGCCTGGCATAAGCCCAGAACTGGTCCAGTTCTGAGATAAGGGTTTAGATAGAAAGATGCATGCCATTCAGGCCTGGAATTAAAACCAGGGTCACACTTAACCATTGACCACAGTTGAGAGCTGCTGAAGAGTGGATGGAGTTGTACCTCATGCTGGTTGCTACCAAAGCTTTCTTTATAATCGCAGGGTTTATGGAGTGGTTGATTCAACTTGAAAAGAAACCTGACCCCTGGAAAGGGCCTTCAAGAGTATATTGTTAAGTGTTTCCTAACCTTTTCTGGATCACAGACCCCTGTGGGAATCATACCAAAGATGAACTCCTTTCTCAACCCCAAAACATGTTTACCCCAGAGACTTTGCACAGTGCTCATAGTAGAAGATCATAGTTGAACCTGATCCTCATCCTTGGAGCCCTTTTCAGGTTAAGGACCTCCGAATTAGTTCAGTTGTCTCATTTTACACAAGAGGAGACTGAGGCAGAGGATAAGTGACTTGCTCAGGATGGCACAGATAATCATGTGACAGACCTGGCTGTCAGTCCTGTTAGCAATTAACTGAGTCAGAAATGGATTTGAATCCTGGCTCGACTTCTAACCAATTGTGCAATCTAATGCCTCAGTTTCCTCACCTGCAAAATGGGGACAATAATAGTACCTACCTTGTGGGGAATGCTGTGGTTAAATGACAACTATGTGAAGAATTTAGAACCAGCATCTCAGTAAATGGTAGCTCTTATATTTATCACTGTTATCAGGTTCTGTATATTTGGAAGCGGAGATACACGTTGATTTCTTAGCCTGTACTTCTAGCTTAAGTTTGAACAGCAAAGACAAAGAACTGCTACCACCTACTGGGTTTTTTTGGTAAATAAGGTGGAATTTGTGGCATTGAAATCTATACGGTGGCCACACCAGTGTCTTTGCCTTGTGGTTATTATGTGGGAATTGGTTGCTGTTCTTTTATTTTTATTTTTGTTAATGTTTATTCATTTTTTGAGAGCCAGAGACAGAGCGAGAGCAGGGGAGGGGTAGAGACAGAGGGAGGCAGAGAATCTGAAGCAGGCTCCAGGCTCTGAGCTGTCAGCACAGAGCCCCACATGGGGCTTGAACTCACAAACCGTGAGATCATGACCTCAGCTGAAGTCGGACGCTTAACTAACTGAGCCACCCAGGCACCTCTGTCGCTGTTCTTTTATGAACTCACATATCTCTTTCCAAAGAGAGTGTTATCAGTTAGCCTTTGCTATGTAACAAACCATCCTAAAATGTCATGGCTTAAAACAACATTATTTATTCCCCCCTTGATTCAGTGGATTGGCAGTGTGGGCCAATCAACTGGGTGATTCTTGTACTGGTTTCTTTTGAGTTCGCTTATGTGGCTGCAGTCAGACGTGGTGGGGTGTGCACTGGGGCTGGATGCTCTAGGATGGCCTCACTTATATGTCTGGCAGTTGGCAGGCTGGGGTGCCTGGTTCTTCTTCCTGGGGCATCTCCAACAGACTAACCTGGACTCATTCCAATGGTGGCAGGAAAAGCAAGCCAGGGAAAGAGAGCCCAGTGCGCAACCACTTTCCAAGCCTCACCTGGTGTCATGTCTGCTAATGTCTTATTGGCTAAAGCGAGTCATGTGGTCAGGCCCAGATTCAGGAGATACAGAAGGAGATTCCACTTTTTTTCCCCTTTTATTTATTTATTTTGAGAGAGAGAGAGAGAGCATGCACACATGGGAGGGGCAGAGAGAGAGGGAGAGGGAGAATCCCAAGCTCTGCACTGACAGATGCAGGTCTCCATCATGACCTGAACCAAAATCAAGAGTCAGCTGCTTAACTGAGCCCCCCAGGCACCCTGAGACTCCATCTGTTGATGGAAAGGAACACCTAATATTGTGATGTGTCTTCAATTTTCCATACACGTTTGCTGGTGAGTGCTGGCTGTTGAGTTTCTGTTGTCAGTTCAAAACTTAAGATGTTGACCTGAGGGAGACTTTTTTCACTCCCTCAGGAGAGAAATAAACCTAATAATCAGAGACCATAACCTCCAGGCTACCCCACCGGTCTAGGTATGGAAGTGCTTTTCTGTGGAACATTTGCATTTTAGTTTGTTGTGGGTTCTCTTCTCTGCTATTTGGGGCTCTCCTATCACCCTGTACCTTGGTTTCCTATCTCTTCAGGCACCGTTAGTTGTGGGCCAGACTAGGAACCGTATCTTCCTTCACTGCATGTTCTCTGGGGAACTTGCTGCCCCCTGTCCCACTCTCAGGTTTTGCCATGGGAATTTAGAGGATATTTTCCCATCCCTTTGGCCTAAGGGAACCATTGATTACAAGGTGGGCTCACATCTCTCTTGTTTACCACTGTATCCCTGTCCTTAGAACAGTGTCTGGCACGTGGTTAACACTCAGTAAACATTTGTCCAGTGAATGAATATCTGTGGGCAGGGCCCAAGCCCTGTCAGAGAGTTTACCCCACCTGCAGGCCATCTCATGCCTACTTCCTGCTGCCCCCCACCAGCCAGCTCTTCCGCAGTGCAGTGCAGTTCCTCAGATTATAGGCCAGCTGCCTACAGCTTGGTGTACAAGGCCTGAGACCCCCAGGACCAGTTGCTGTCCATCCTCCGTTGGAAATGTACACTTAACTCTGGAGTAGAGTTTTGTGCCAGTGACTCAAACAAAATTGTTTTGGGGAAGGTTATGATTGTATTTACTGTGGGATGAGAGAGTGCAGGCATCTGGCTCTAAGTTGCGCCTGTGTGTGTGTGTGTGTGTATGTGTGTGTGTACAGGTTCTTACCATACAAAGCTCCCATTCTTTGAGGGGCTCAATTCCCATTCATAGACCAGGAAGATATGTGTATTTATTTTAGCAAATTTCCAGCAGAGGACAATCAAAGGTCTCACTGTGTTAAAGGCCAGTCTGTTACAGTAACTAGCGGGTCTATTGTGATGACAAGGTGACTTGTTCTGATTTGTGCAAAGGTGCCCCGAGAGCTAGCCATGGAATTGAGCTTACCTCTGTTGTTCTTCATGTTCTTGGCTTTCTCTCCCCAAGAGAATATTTTAAGTCTGCCTGCAGGGACTTCTGTGGCCTCTGTGAGTGGCTGAGTGTCTCCCCTGGATGGCTGCGTGTCCTGTGTGGAAGGCCACATACTCAGCCATAGAGGACCAGGTGTCTGCCTGTGGCTAGCTCAGTGTTCTCCCCTGGGTGGCCATGTGTTCCGCTGTGGGTGGCTGAGTATCAGGCTATTCAGGGCTGAGTGTTCACCGTGGGAAGCCCAGTATTCCCCTGTGGATGGTCACAGATTGGCGCTTGGACAACTGTGTCTCCCTGTGGACACTGCCACTCTCCTCTCATTTCCCTCCCTGACTCCACCCCACCACCTGTTACCAGTAGGTCTGGAGGTTGAGTGGAGTCTGACCTTGGCTCCCCTAGTCCCTGACACTTCTCCATGACACTGTCAGGGGCAGGGCCCGTGTGTGTGTGTGTGTGTGTATGTGTGAGACCTGGGGCCCAGCAGGGGATCACCACAGGAGTGGCCAGGTGGTTATAGGGGTGATACCCCCTCCTTTCCCCTGCCAGGTTGAGGCCCCGGAAGGAACAGGGCACTTACGCACTGTCCTTGATCTATGGGAAAACCGTGTACCACTACCTCATCAGCCAGGACAAGGCAGGCAAATACTGTATTCCTGAGGGGACGAAGTTTGACACGCTCTGGCAGGTAAGCTGCCCATCCACCTCGTTGTTGAGAGGTCGTGGTGGGGGGTAGCTTAGGGTTCTGGGGAAGGGAGGAGCCCAGGCCCTGATGCTGCCTCCCTGCAGCTGGTAGAGTACCTGAAGCTGAAGGCTGATGGGCTCATCTACTGCCTGAAGGATGCCTGCCCCAACACCAGTGCCAGCGCCAGCTCAGGTGAGTGGGGTGGTGGGGGACAGGGGTGAGCGGAAGACCCCGTGCCCCACCCCCTCACTGTCGCTTCTGCTCCCTCAGAGGCTGCTGCTCCCACACTCCCAGCTCACCCATCCACGTTCAATCATGTGAGTTAGCTGGCATCTCAAAGTTGGGTCATGAGGGATGGAGCTGGGCAGGTGGGTGATGGGTCCTGTTCCCAGGGCGAGGCTGGGCTGGAGAGTAGGGCTGCCATGGAACAGAAGAGGGTCCCCCTCAGAATTGTCCCTAGGAGACCTCAGAGAATATGGGTTTCAGGGGCTGGGTACCCTCAGCTTAGGCCCTGCTGACCCTTGCTGATCCATGACCTTTAGGCTCAGAGACGGATTGACACCCTCAACTCAGATGGATACACCCCTGAACCAGGTGAGCTGACAGAGATGGAGGTGTATGTGTGGGGTTCATGCCAGGCTGTGATCAAGGTCCCTGGCTGGGCTCCAGGGAGTAGCAGGGGAGGGATGTGTGCCAGGCCTGACTTGTGCACATGCTGTGACTGCAGACATGCATGTGGGTACATATCTATCACACCTGCCTGTGCTTGTGCACAGGGTGCATGTGGACATTCAGGGGAGTACATCTGGCTATGCCTGAGCCACAGACAAACATTTGTTCAGCACCTGCTATGTGCCAGTCATGCCCCACGCTCATGTGTGTCTGAGCTTGTTGAATGCTTCTGCCATGCCGTATGAGTTAGCTATGGCAATTATTCTCAGTTTACGGATGAGAAAGGAGGGCAAGTAACTTAATTAATTGCTGGCAGTAAGGCAATAGCAGACCTGGGATTTGAACCCATGCAGGCAGGTGCTACAGCCCATGTTCCTAAAATGCTAATGTGCTTGATGTGTAGATGCAAGCCTATCCCATGTGTGTGCACTGAGAACATACATGATTGCATGTGCACACAGAGGCTCACCTGTGGGGCCCTTGTAAACATGGCTATGTGGTGCATCCATAGACACGGGCAGGCATGGACATAGGTGCACACACTCAGTGCACACACATGCACAGAGGTGTGTACTGTAGCTGGCACACTAACAGTTACTCATGCAGATATGCCTTTGGACCCCCATCACACACAGATGTGGGTACATATGTGTGAACACATGGGCACACATGGCTACATGTGCACATAGATGCATACGCCTTTAGAGTCCACTTGGATGTGGCTTCCCAGTTCCCTCCAGATGGGACCAGGAGTGTACACAAGTGCATGCATGCACACGAACACATGCGTGTACCCTTGTGCCTGTGCATGCTCTGGATGGTGCAGAGCTGTCTGGGGTGTGTGCGTCATGGGCACCAAGGCTGCCATGCCCTCCCCATCCCCCGTCCCCCTGCCTCATCCTGACTTGAGAGTGCACACCTGTGTGTGTATGCCCAGCACGCCTAGTGTCCGCAGAGAAGCCGCGGTCAATGCCCATGGATACAAGTGTGTATGAGAGCCCCTACAGTGACCCTGAGGAGCTCAAGGACAAGAAACTCTTCCTGAAGCGTGAGAACCTCCTCATGGCTGACATAGAACTTGGCTGCGGCAACTTTGGCTCAGTGCGTCAGGGCGTCTACCGTATGCGCAAGTATGGCTGCTCCTGCCGTGGTTTGGGGAACCACCTGGTGGGGGGCAGAGGAGGGTGTGGCCTTGCCAGGCCTTGGGGCAATGGGGGCAGGACGTGATATCAGTTTGCCTGGGAGACAGACCCTATGCCAGGAAAGTACATACTAGGGAGTTGTCTAGGAGGGCTCGGGGTCAGCACCTGAGAGGGTATGGGTGAAGCAGGCTGGGACAGGGAGAGGATGGGCTGAGCTGCAGTTGCAAAAGAAGCCTTAACCATTCCCGGGGAGCTGTAGAGGGATTCCCCTTGTTGCCTCGCTACAAGTTAATCGCTTACTGGATAGAGGCAGCCCCTGGGGAGTGTGTAACTTTGCAGTGTTTTTCTCAGTGAGGGGCAGTCCTCGGTGAGGGACTTGGCAGCGAGCTGTCCCTAGCCTACACTCCTGGCACCCAAGGAAGTGTGTGCCTGGGCCCTGAAGGGAGATCCAGTATCGATCCCACATACCCAGAGAGAAGAAAGGCAGGTTGGGTGGGCACGAGGGGCCGAGCAGGGCCCTGCTGGCTCAGGTGCGCATCACGGCAGGAAGCAGATTGACGTCGCCATCAAGGTGTTGAAGCACAGCACGGAGAAGACAGACAAGGACGAGATGATGCGCGAGGCGCAGATCATGCACCAGCTGGACAACCCCTACATCGTGCGTCTCATCGGTGTCTGCAAGGCCGAGGCCCTCATGCTCGTCATGGAGATGGCCGGCGGCGGGCCCCTGCACAAGTTCCTGCTTGGGAAGAGGTGAGCCCCAGCTGGGCTGGCCATCTGGAGCTTGTGGGCCCAGCAGGCCTATCTGTCACTTACGTATGTGCTCCAGCCACCAGGGCACACTCGCTTTCACACAACTGTAGACACACTCACTCCTGCCATCCTGCACACCCACACTCACTCCCATGGGGCAGGGCTGTTACCAGCACAGCCGTCAGAGTCTGACCTGCAGCTCTGCCGCTAACTAGTGTGACACCGGGCAGGTCTCTCAGTTCGTCCGTGCCTCAGTTTCCTCACTGGTACCGCAGTGCTCTTGTGAAGGGCTCTTGTGAGGCTTGCATGAGTTGATATTTATAAAGTGCTTATAACAGTGTCTGGCCCTGCTTGTAAGAGCTTTAGTTTTGCCCTCGTGAAATTGCCCATAGTCGATTGTCTTTGACCTAAAGCAGGGTCAGCAAACTGTAGCCCATGGTGTCTTTGGTACTGCATGGCTTTGCATTTTTTTAAAAATATTTTTATTTATTTCTAGGAGAGAGAGAGAGAGAGACAGCGTGAGCAGGGGAGGGTCAGAGAGAGAGGGAGTGACAGACTCTGAAACAGGCTCCAAGCTCAGAGCCTGGCAATCAGCACAGAGCCCGACGCGGGGCTCGAACCCACGAACCGTGAGATCATAACCTAAGTGAAAGTCTGACGCTTAACCGACTAAGCCACCTAGGCGCCCCTGCATGGCTTTGCATTTTTAAAGGTTGTACAAGAAAAAAAAAAAAAAAGAAACAGAAGAATACGTGGCAGAGACCACATGTGACCTGCAAAGGCTAAAGTATTTACTATCCTGCCCTTTATAGAAAAAATCTGACTCTCAATCTAAAAGAAATTGCAATTTCATTTGTGTTCCCTCATGCCTCAAACCCTCACTCTCATAGACAGTCTTTTACACTCACTGAGGTGTGTGACCCTCAATTCATGTTCTTGCTGGTGCATGTACATTCACAGCGTACTCTAGCTCGTGCTTTCATGGTGCATCCTGGCTCATACATTCAGTTATCCTGAAGGTTTTCACTGGGCAATCTCTCTGTAATAGGGACTATTACCAGCGCTTGGGGCTCATCAGTGAACAAAAGAGACAAAGATCTCTGTCCTATATTCTGGCTGGGAAAAAGAGGCTTTCGATAATAATTATAATACAATATAGAGTATGCTGGAAGAGAAGTAGTATAGAAAAGAGGATTGGGAGTGTTAGGGTAGGAGGTAAAAAGTGAGAAGGTGACATTTGTGCAAACTGAGGGAGGCAGCCAAGTGCAGTTGTGGGGGAAGAAGCCAGTGCAAAGGTCCTGAGGTGTGTCTGTGCCCTCTGTGGTGAGGGAAATGTGAGGAAGATTCTGTGGCTGCAGCAGAGTGAGTGAAGAGGAGCAGGGGAGCTGATGTGGGTAGGGAGGTGATGGGGCAGGTCATGCAGGGCCTTGTGGGCCTCGGGGAGACCTTGGACTTCTACCGTGAGTGAGGTGGGAGCCCTGGGAGGCTCTGAGCAGAGGAAGTAGCAGGACCGGGCTCCTGTGGTCGGAGGGACAGGCCATGGGGAGTGGGGGTCGTGGTGACTGTTCTTTCTGGTCCAGGCTGATGACGATGAGGGCTGGACTGGGATGGCAGAAGCAGAGGTGGAGAGAAGTAGAAGGATTCTGGAAGGATCTGAAGGCAGAGCTGCCAGGGTGTGCTGACAGATTAGAAGTCAGATGAGAGAAAGAGGCGCTGAGGGCAAGGCTGGTGCTTCTGGCCGAAGTCAATGAAAGGATGTGGCTGCTGGGGAAGAAGGGGGACAGTGGCAGTGGGCGGGGGTGGGCGAGAGCTGGGTGTGTATGAGAACAACCAGGAACTTAGCTTTGTCTTGATTTTATTGTTTTCAAATTTATGTACTAATTTTGATAGAGACAAGAGTAGGAGAGGGACACACACACACACACACACGCACACAGAGAGAGAAAGAGAGAGAGGAAAGAGAGAATCCCAAGGAGGCTCCACACCCAGCACAGAGCCTGACATGGGGCTCAATCCTACAACATTGGGATCATGACCTGAGCTGAAATCAAGAGTTGGACACTTAACTGACTGAGCCACCCAGGTATCCCTGTCTTTATTAATTTTGAGAGGCCCATGAGACACCCCTCAACACCCCCCCCCCCCCGCAGGGCACAGAGAGGATGCAGATAATTGTATAAGTTTGGGAATCATAGTATGTGGGAGAAATCAAGAGTTGGACACTTAACTGACTGAGCCACCCAGGTATCCCTGTCTTTATTAATTTTGAGAGGCCCATGAGACCCCCCTCAACCCCCCCCCCCCCCCGCAGGGCACAGAGAGGATGCAGATAATTGTATAAGTTTGGGAATCATAGTATGTGGGAGAAATTGAAAGTCTGGAGACTAGAGGAAGATGGGAGGCTTTGCCTCTTCTGTTCACCCCCACCCCCACCGTCTCCCCAGCCCTGTGCCTGGCACACAGCAGATGTTCAACAAGCACCTGTTGGCCACATACTCAGCTGGGTCAGAGGATTGGGCTTTGCTCCCTTGGGAACTCGGGCCGTCCCCTCCCAGCTGACCCTGCTTTCCCCCGCACCCCAGGGAGGAGATCCCAGTCAGTAATGTGGCAGAGCTGCTACACCAGGTGTCCATGGGGATGAAGTACCTGGAGGAGAAAAATTTTGTGCACCGTGACCTGGCGGCCCGCAACGTCCTGCTGGTCAACCGGCACTATGCCAAAATCAGTGACTTCGGCCTATCCAAGGCGCTGGGTGCCGACGACAGCTACTATACTGTGAGCCCCCACCCCTCTGGCAACCAGGTGGATGGGGTTGGAGGGTGGAGGGTCCCTGAGCCCTGCCCTGGCAACATCTCCCCATTCTCAGGCCCGCTCGGCAGGGAAGTGGCCGCTCAAGTGGTATGCGCCGGAGTGTTTCAACTTCCGCAAGTTCTCCAGCCGCAGTGACGTCTGGAGCTATGGGGTCACCATGTGGGAGGCCTTCTCCTATGGCCAGAAGCCCTACAAGGCAGGCATGGGCAGAGGCGGGCGGGCAGGTGGCTGGGTGGGAAGGTGGGGTGAGGGCGCGGTGGCCTTGGTTACTCACATTGCACTTGGCTCTGGCTTGAGCAGAAGATGAAGGGCCCCGAAGTCATAAGCTTCATCGAGCAGGGCAAGAGGATGGAGTGCCCACCAGACTGTCCACCTGAAATGTACACACTCATGAGTGACTGCTGGATCTACAAGTGAGTGCCAGTGGGTGGCAAGGGTACCTGGCTGAACTGACGCTTGGGCCTGGGGCCAGAGGTCATGGTGCCCAATAGTCCAAAACTCATCCCATCCAAGACTCACTCAGTTCACAGCCTCCCACACCCAGGAGCTTTACTCTCTGCACCTATGCTAAATGCCTCAACACATGGACCCTATAGTACTCCAATGGGCGAACACCCCAACACTCTACCTGTAAACACCTAGTGCTCCAGCATCTAAAACCTCGGGCCCCCCGCCAGCCAACACTCAACACATTGATCCTGCAATACTCAAACAAGGCAGTACTCTTTTACCCAAAATATAGTACCAATGGTCAGGGCATGTCATAGTACTCCACTCTAATTCCTCAGTCCCCCACTGTCCAGAATTCAACACCTATTTACCCTGACCGGCCAACACTACAGCACCCAAATACTCAGTACATTCAAAACCTCCACCTCTGCCCAGTGTTCAAGCTCAACACTTGAACAGCCCAACTTTTAACACCATCAGTATTTCAACTTCCCATCAGACAATAGGCAATATGCACCCAAACAAGATACTGTTCTACACTGAGCCATGCAATGCATGGATATTTCAACATGTTGGATACTCCAACATCCATTATTCCATTGGCCAGCACCTATGACATTGACACCTAAACACCCAAGCAACCCAATATATAGATATTCTATTTATTATAAATAATAAATGATCAGTCTATCCAATGCGTGTTAACCTGGTCTCCATTGGGAAATACTCAGTAAACCAACACCCCAATACTGAAAGAGGCTCACATCCAACACTATACATGGATATTCCATACACAGTACCATTAATGGCCCAACTCTCCACTAGCTGAACCCACCAACAAGGCTCCAGTGTTCTGCCAGATGAGTGAGAGGCAGTGTACTTGCACCCATGAAAGCCCACACCTAGCATCCAAATACACTGGCCCTTGGCACATGTGCAGTACCCCAGCATTCAGTATCACAGGCCCCCTTCATTGATAGTTGTAACCCCAACACTCAATGAATTCAGTTCCCTAAGTCTTCACCAGTTAACACTCAACAGATGGTTCCCCCAACATCCTGTATGCTGGCAGCTCTTCTATTACATGGTACACAACCACCTGAATTCTAGTACTCTCACACCCCAAATCGTCTCCATTACCAAAAACTCCATCACCCTGACAGCCCCACTGATTTTATTTTTTTAATGTTTATGTATTTATTTCGAGATAGACAAAGCCAAGCAGGGGAGGGGCAGAGAGACAAGGAGAGAGAGAGAGAGAAAGAGAGAGAGAGGGGGGGAGAGAGAGAGAGAGAGAGAGAGAATCCCAAGCAGGCTCTGCGCTCTCAGTCCAGAGCCTGTTGTGGGGCTTGAGCTCACCAACCGTGAGATCATGACCTGAGCCGAAACCAAGAGCCGGATGCCTTACTGACTGAGCCACCCAGGTGCCTCCCCACCCACGCACTGATTTTCTGAGCCTCTTGCGTGTCTGCCCTCCAGCTGAGGCTGGGTTCTGAGGATGTGGTCAGTGGCTCGGATCTACCCAACCCCCCCACAGGTGGGAGGACCGCCCAGACTTCCAGGCTGTGGAGCAGCGCATGCGGACCTACTATTACAGCTTGGCGAGCAAGGCTGAGGGGGCCCCAGGGCCTGGAAAGGGAGCGGAGACTGCTCTTGCCTGAGCGCCAGCCTGCCTGGGGCCTGTGAGCCTCGATGCCCCAGCTTCAGCCCCCACCCTAGGACCTCCAGTCTGGCTCCATCACTTCAGCTTTCCTGCCCAAACCAGCTGGGCTGTCTGTAGTAAGGCAGGCAGCTGAAGCCTCAGGGTAATACTGACCTAGCTCTCCCCACCTGGTCACCCGTCCTCTCTGGCTGGGGGAGGAGGGAGGGCCCTGGGAGGGTGGGGTTGCATAGCCTGCTCTTGGGCTGGTATCTACTGGGGATCCCTGAGCTGAGGGAGCATTGCTTACAGTAAGCACCCTCCTTCCTCTGGCGCCTGGAGGGGAAGACTCTGGGAATTCTCAGGTGGCAAGACCTCAATCATTTAAATAAACTCAGCTTCTCTCTTGTTTGAGTCTCTCATCTTTTCTGCCGTGAGAGGGTGGAGGGTGACCAGGAATGGGGGTGGGTCATTGGAAGGGGTCAATGAGAAGTGCCTGAGCACAGCTTTTGTGTGGTCCTGGACGTGGGCCCCAGGGTCTGGGCATCTGGTTTTCCCACTTCTCTCCCCTGGGGACATCTTTGTGTGAGGAGCTGTGGCAGAGTTGGGGGACTGAGGTAGGTACACTGCTGGGCCTCAGCTTCCCTGTCTTTGTGGATTGTGTGAGATGGGCGCTCTCCATGCCGGCTGCCTGTTAGCATCACCTGGAACGATTTTCACAAACGCCAATCACCGCTCCCCCACGCCCCAACACGGGTGCATTTTAAAGTGTCTTCAGGTGATTCTATCACCTAACACCCTACTCAACGGCCCCACCTTCTTCCCTGGAGACAGAGAGTCACAGCCGGGACCTTCATCACCTAGTGTCCCAAGTGCTGGCTTAGTCCTGCTAAGTCCTGTCCCCAAGCTCTTGCTGCTTCAGTTTCCCCACGTGGAAAATTGGGATGTTGGAGCATAGAACCCACCAGGTCAGGTGAAATGGAGCCAGGCTTCTGCACTTCTTTTCTGAACTTGCTTCCCTTTGCTCAGCTGTGACTGGCCCCATCCCCAGTTCCCAGCCATTGCCTCATTCTCTTGGCTTGGCCGCTACAGCGACTGCCTCAGGGCAGCCATGAAACCCACTCAGCCAGGGAAAGGCAAGGAGATATTCTGTGGCTTCTGGGAAGGCAAGTTTTTTCTTTTTGTGGCTGTTTTGTGGAACTATGGGGGAAGGATGGGGGTTTTATCTGCTGTGTGGCGTGGGAACATGAGGCCAGGTGGGTGATGCCGGTGAGAAAACCCCAGAGCCAGGACACTGACATTGAGATTATTAATTTAGGTATAGACTTTAACTGGTTTCACCATTTACTGTTGAATTTTAATAATTGTGGGAGCCCGACAGTGACCACAAGAATGCGTGGTTAGGGACGCGGGGATGTGCCTGCACACGGGGCTCCCTGCCTGGGCAAAGCATGCCTGCAAACAGGGTGCTCTGCCAGGAGGCCTGCACACAATATCCAAGTTTAATGTTCCGCTCGCAAACGAGGGAACATGCCCTCCTCAGAAGTAAGGAGAAGGCTGGAATTGTGGGCAGGCCTCTTAGTAAACATGTTGTGGTCGCTTCCTCCCTTTGCTCCCCCCTGTCCTTGAAAGGTGTTTGGCTACTGGCCCTTAATTGATAAAGGAATGCATCTTGTAGATTTCAGTTTGTATCCAGTTACTGGGGTATAAAATAAACCGCAAGAGGGGCTCGCGTAGAATTGTTCCTCTGGCCGGAGTTGTGTCTGTGTCTGTCTTTTGTGTGTGTCTTGTCCTTTGTGTCATTTCGTCCGCAACAATAATCTATATGTAAGCCTCATATTAGCATATTCTTAAATGAAATTTGTACTCCATATGGAAAGTAATTCAGAGAACCCCCGGCTGTGCCGTCAACCCTGGGCACACCAAGACTCTTGGTTATGTACGTTCATTTGCAGAGTAAGCCTGGAATGGTTGGGAGTTGTTTGAGGGTCCCCAAGCCCTGGAGGACCATCTCTTCCTGTGTTTAGATTCAAAATAGACACCGATTGTAAAGATAAACACGTGAGCTTGAATTATTTTGTCCTTCTAGGTGACCATTTGGAGATTTTGTGATTACAATTTAAAACAGTGAAGCCTTGAAACCACAACGTGTAAGACTTTTAGTTGGTAAATATGTGAGCTATAATAACTGAATTTGAACAAAACCATTAAGATTCCAGCATTGGTTTTCAAAGTCAAGAAAATATTACATTAATGGTGACATTCTGTGGCTTCCCGAACTGTAGTGTTTGCAGATATTTCAGTTTTATTAAAGTTTGCCAACAAGGCGGGGTGCCTGGGTGGCTCAGTCGGTTAAGCGTCCAGCTTCGGCTCAGGTCATGATCTCGCGGTCTGTGGGTTGGAGCTCCCTGTCGGGCTCTGTGGTGACAGCCAGCTCAGAGCCTGGAGCCTGCTTCAGATTCTGTGTCTCTCTCTCTGATCCTCCCCTGCTCACGCTCTCTCTCTCTCTCTCTCTGAGAAGTAAATTAAAAAAACATTAAAAAAATTTTTTAAAAACTTTGCTAACAAGTTACTGGATAATTCCATAATTACATAAAGTGTTCTAGAAGAAGGGAAATACATTTTCACTGGGTTTCTTTTATGGTCATCATTACTATTTCATTTTATGATTGTTGCTGAAAATTATTTTATAGGAAGGGGGTATTAAAAATCCCCTCTGAGTGTCAAATACACTGGGAACGTGTGCTGGCAATAAATGTGGAATGAACCAATTAAAGAAAGTGTGATTCCACATAGGTACCACCAGGTGCCGCTGTTCTCCAAGCCAACGTCTCTCAGTTCCTCAAATCTGGTCCTAGCTCCTGTCCAACGTTTGGACATCTCAGGCTCCATCCTGGTCCCCAAGACCCAACTTCTGTCCCCAGCAATCCACTCACTCCAGAACCACTTGCAGGGTCTTTCCTACCAGCAGCTCTGACCAAGTCCCTCCACCTTCTTCCAGAGTTCCCCGAGCATATCCATTCTGACTCTTAATCTCTGGGTTTTTGCATTTACTGTCTCCTTTGCCTGAGATTCATTTCTTCTTCATTAAACAAATTATTACTTGATAATTTGAAATGTTATAACTTGTCAATATAAGGTGTAGAGCATTTTACTTTGGTAGATATATATATATATAGTATATATATAAATTATAAACATTGTATCACATTACATCACAGTACAGTGTTACTGACTATATACATTATCCTGTGCATTAGATATCTATGGCCATTTTACTACTGGTTGTAAGCTTCTACTCTTAAACACCATTAGTCATATTCCTCTGCACCCTAACATATAAGTGACATCGTTAGTACTTGTCTTTCTCTGTCTGAATTATCTTGCTTAGCATGATGTGCTCAAGGTCCATCGATGTTGTCACAAATGGTGTCTTGGAGTGTAGTGGAGTTCAGTTTCCCCTACATCTTTCTGTCTTCATTTCTTGTTCTCCCTGTTTTGTTCACTGTCTGTTTTTGTCCGTTTCTGTCTGGCTCTCTCCATCTGTACTTCTCCTTTCCTGAACCTCCAGACCTCACTTCCATTCAAATATGTATTGAGCACTTACTGAGAAGACTAGCCTGGTATGAAGGGGAGGGACTGAGGGAAGTAGTTTCTGATATTTGCTTGCTTACCTTCCTATGATGAGCAGCTCATCACCTACCAAGGCAACCCAAGCTGGTTAGTGAGGTAGCATTCTTTCAATTGCCAACCCCAAACCGGATCTTCACCCCTTTCTCCATGGTCCCAAGACTACACAGAACTCACCTCTTTCTCCAAAAAGAGATCTTACTCTTCCTATATAAAGCTGCAATGTGCCTATTCTGGAAATGTGTCATGAATAACATAGACCACTGAGTAACCAGTGCTGTGATGGTGGAAGCCAACAGGGCCCTGGGTGTTCAGAAGAGACTCTTGACCTAGCTGAGGAGGGGTCAATCTGGTGGGCTTCCTGTAGGAGGTAACATATAAGCTGAGTCTCTGTAGGGTGAGTGAGATGTGGTTGGGGGAGAGGTGAGCAAAGTGTTCCAGGCAGAAGGAAGAGCATGTAGAGGTGAGAGAACAGGCTTTTGGGAACCCAAATCGGTTTTGAGTGGCTTTAGAGCATTGTGTTTCAGTGAGGCTGCTGAGGTCAGTAAAGGGATAATGGGGAACCTGGAGCAGTGATCTTTGTGGGAGACAAGTGGCACTTTTTTCTTTTGTACTTCCTAGGGGCTTGCTGGGAGGCAATTTATACTGTCTCCCCTCTCCCTGCCCCCTGGTTCCAGATACATGGCTGTATTCTTCCTAGCATAGGTTTTTTTTTTTTTTCTTAAGTTCTTTTATTTGAGTGTAGTTGACACACAATGTTACATTAGTTTCAGGTATACAACATAGTGATTTGACAAGTTTATATGTTCTGCTGTGTGGAGTGTGGCTACCCTCTGTCACCATACAATACTATTACAGTATCATTGACTATAGTCCTGATACTGCGCCTTTTATTGCTGTGACTTAACTGTTCCATAACTGGAAGCCTGTATCTCCCGCTCCCCTTCACCCATTGTGCCCCTCCCCCACCCTCCTCCTCTCTGGCCACCATCGGTTTATTCTCTGTGTTTATAGGTCTGCTGCTGCTTTTTGTTGTTGCTGTTGTTGATTTTTTTTAAGATTCCATATATGAGTGAAATCATATGGTATTTGTCTTTCTCACCCTGACTTCTTTCATTTAGCGTAATTCCCTCTAGGTTCATCCATGTTGTCACAAATGACATGATCTCATTCTTTTTTATGTCTGTGCAATATTCCTGTGTGTGTGTGTGTGTGTGTGTGTGTGTGTGTGTGTATGTATCACATCTTTCTTACCCATTTTTCTATTGCTGGACACTGAGTTGCTTCCATATCTTGGCTATTGTAAATAATGCTGAAATAAACATAGGAGTGCATCTATCTGTCTTTTTGAATCAGTGTTTTCATTTCCTTTGGGTAAATACCCAGTAGTGAAATTATTGGATCATATGGTATTTCTATTTTTAATTTTTGGGGGGAAACCACTATACTGTTTTCCATAGCAGCTGTACAAATTTACATTCCTACCAACAGTGTATGAGGGCTCCCTTTTCTCCACATTCTCACCAACATTGTTATTTCTTGTCATTTTGAATTTTGCTATTTTGACAGGTGTTAAGGCGATAGCTCATTGTGGTTTTGATTTACATTTCCTGGATGATTAGTGATGTTGAGCATCTTTTCATGTGTCTGTTAGTTACCTGTATGTCTTCTTTTGGAAATATGTCTGTTCAGGTCCTTTGCCCATTTAAAAGTCAGATTGTGTGTGTGTGTGTGTGTGTGTGTGTGTCGGGTGTTGAGTAGTATAGCTTCTTTATATAT